ACTTGATTTTCTATGATTGTTAGAATGAGTAACAAGTTTTTTATTGAGAAATAATTTAGATCTTGCATCTCAATATTTTATTTCCCAGAAAAATTAGAACTTCTTGATGATATCCAGATCTTATCGACTTTATAGATCATTCATTACTATTTCGTTCATTTGTTAGATTGAGTTTTGTTAAATCTGAGCAAAGATTTTTGACCTCCTGAGTTTTTTAGGAAAGTAACAACAACCTTTTGACTGCATCCAGATCAATTCGTTCAGTGGAGATCATGTATACATATTTCTAAGATATGGGGACGAAATTTATAAATGAATATAGATCAACAGGTGCGACCTACTGTTCAAATCTCAGCCTGGAAGGGTTCAAAGAGGCCCCATTGAGAGAGCGACATTAATTCAGGGATAATCTAAGATCAATATTTTTGACGTTTGCTCATTTTGTTTTAAATCATGTCCACAAATTCGATTTCAATCCGAATTATTTTAAATCGAATATGACACTAAATATCTACGACATGCGAATATTGTTAATGAGATCTCTATACTTTCCTAGGGTGGTACTTAGCATGGGGTGGGGATATAGGTTTATTCATATTGCATTAGGGAATACTAGTGTTGTTCATTTTTGGAAAGTTAATTAGGAATAAAATGAAAAAAAGACTAGATTTTAATCCACGACACCATCTCGCCCGATTTTTTAAAAGAATTTCTAAGAAAATTCTAGCTAATATTACCTTCCTTGACTTTAACAAAAATGTTGGGAGTTTATAGACCACTCCACATTTTGCCCGATTCAGTTCACTATTTAATAGGAATTCGCCGACAAATAATGTACTTACACATTTTCTTTAGATTCTTACTTTGAGATAAGATTCCATCAAAATCACTGTATAAGGGAAAACTGATGACATTCAATATAAAAAGCCCATATCAAGGGTTTGACATTAATATTCCACACGCTGGGGTGGTCCTGGCCCAATACTAAGTAGCCAGCCTCACCATGGTGCTCGGGATAATCGTAGATAATCATATTGTGACACTGTTCATTTTTTGTTTTAAATTCCATCAATGATTAGAAGTGAGAGATATTGATAAAATTATGAAATATATGATGTTGACACTAAGTCGGTTTAAGAACTGTAATTAACTTGTCATCGTGGTTCGTGATTGGGCGTGTTCAATATGGTCTGGCATCGCAGGCCCCTAGCCACAGGGAAAAATCAACAGATCCGAACAACCAAGTCTGGCTACTGGCCTGCGATGACTCTGTCGAATCAGATATACCATGACCTAATTGTTATTCACGAATAAAAGGATAATTTTAATGACAAAACGGGGAAAAAAACAAAATAGTAATTTTAATAGTATAAAAAATATTGTAAACCATGTGGGTGGCTTCTTGACAAATTAAATAAGAACATATTGGCCGGTGAGGGGGGAAGAATCGTGAGTACAAGCTCCATCAAGCGATGTAATATATCACCGGTCATGTATAGTATTTGATCGTTCATTTAATAATATTGTAAATACATGAAATAAACAAATGTCTGTACATAACACGGATTCAGAAACACAAATTTGAAACTGTTTTCTAGCAGAACCTCTTTCTGGTTTTGGGTATATATAAATGCCAGCTTCTCCTAGAAATTACCTTTCTTTGATCTTATCTCATATCTCGTGTGAAATATTTCACCTTAAAGAAACTAAAGGGGGCTCGATTGTTTATTCCATCTTCACATTCTCAATACAGCCACGATTGTTAACATTCTTAGAAAGATACCCTTGTAATCCCCGACGTATCTGATAAATTTTATGATGCTTTGTTCTTATAATCATAAATGTATTAAAAATTGCATAAGTAATTTTATTGCTTGTCGCAGAAGTCTTCCTCCCTACCGGACCCTTTTCACACAATTCACGCCCTATCTTTATCTCTAAACGTGACATGCATGTCTCCAATACCAAAAGCACTTCGGACCACGATCCTGGTAACCTTTGAACTCAGAAGTTTAATGTAAAAACCGATAATGCAATTGCAATTAAATCAAAACATAATCATTGGATAACTTGATAATATTAATATGTTCGTCTTAACCGTTTTATCGTGATGTAACGGACCAATATACCATATCTACACAGGCGTATATACGCCAATTTGGGCGATAACTGTTAATATTTTGCGTAACCTTACGCGTTAACGACGTAAAACATACAAAGAAGTCGATAACTGCTTCTTTAGGGCGTTATTTACCTAGTTAACAGTTTAGCGGATCTCTCTTCAAGATCGAGCCAACATCAAAGCCGCCGCCAATAGGGGATTAAAGGAGATTTAGAGATATTGGATTACCGATCATCTTCATCAGTTGTGAGATTATAGTATCAGCAGAGTTAATGGCTGTATTAACAGAAGCTGTATGGGTAACTGGCTATCAGTAAGGGTTAAAATCTTCTGAAACACCGCTCGTTAACCCAATCTGGTTCGTCTTTAACGGTGATTATCACTAGCAGCACACTTATTCTTCTTCGTGGTAGAAATGGTGTCCGCTTTCACTAAATAATATCACACACGCTCGTCCCAAAATATACCTTGATACAGACGCGGAGTTAACCACGGAGAGGCAAACGTATTTTTTATCTATTGTTCACCCAAAGTGACTTCTAACCATATTTCGGATGAAGTTTCTCCCTGTTCATACCCTAACCTTCTCCAGTTACCATCGGCTTCCGTTTTTATCAATCAAGTCGACTCGTGGCGATGTCCTCATTCAGTTCCTATTCATAACTGCTCCTTTTTATCAATATACCGAAAACTAACGGTACATCGGACGGAGTGCGGAATGTGTGAGGCCCTCTTTTGAAGACGTTCACAGGCCAATATCTTTAATTAGCTAAATCTTTAATCTCTGCTTTATCAAAATATCGGGATATGAGGAAACATCAATTCAGAATTCAAGACTGCATATTCAACCACCTTTTCAGATGACAGCTGTCAATAACTGGACACAAATATGTACATAAAGATAACTTTAATGAAGAAATTACAACGTTTCGACGATGGTACTCTCAAGCGCTATAGGCTGTCCCTTAATTTTTTTTTTGCATAATATATTGTGTTTGTGTCGCAGTTATTCTCTCCTCAATAACTAAATTCCAATGAAAGGAACTGTTAATAAAGCCGACAGATTTATATATATATATCTCAAAATATATATCACCCTTAACGATCTGGAGTGTAAAATGCTTCCTGTTGAGCGAGAAACATATCAAAGTCACTTTCATCCGTATTTCAATTCAAATGAAGACTTTTAATACGGAGGGGCTGACATGGAAAAAGCGTATAGTCGTTCGAATAGGACAATGAACCGAGGTTCCGTGTGCTACAGGCTGTGCACGTTAAAGATCCCTTGACAGTTGGAAATCGAAAAGAGCTGGCTAAAGCCGCAGTCCAGGCAAAATTTCCCTCATTGCACCATGCATGGCATTGCCCGTCCTCATCAGCCCACTTGGTGAAGAAAAGTAGAGCGTAAAACACCATTCATTTCATTTCTTTCATTGAATATTTCTGAATTCCATAGAGAATTATTTCTGTCACTGAATAATTGATTTTAAAAAGATTGGTATTTATTTCGCTGGTATAAATTAAAATCTATAAAATCGAAGTAATTTGTCTCCCGGTCAGTGGAAACTATTACAAAATTTTCATTTAAATCATTAAATTTATATTATAAAAACTTGACAGTAGACATTTTAATTACCATTGTTTAAAAAGATATACGACTTTTTCAAACTTGGAATTCTGTTCGTTCTGCGCTATAAAAATTATAACATTCTGAAATTGTACGAAACGTCAAACTTGGTGGAGTGACGCATCGGTCAGACATAAGCCAATCCTCTCAAATTACCGAAAAAGTCAAGAAAATTTAACAAAAAGCTATTTTGATCTTGCAGCTTTTTGTTAAATACGGCAAACCGTCAAAAATTCTTGCCAAACCTATCATTATGAACAATTATCAAGCTAATTTTCTTTACTTGTCAATCAATCTAGAGATAAGCTACGCCCCTTGAAGATGATTGGTCAATCAAGTATAAAGGCGGGGAGTATATTTACATAGACAAATAGCAGGAAAGAAAGTAAACACACTACATGTGATATTGTAGTATAGTAAAAGTGAATTATTCACACCAAAGTTGTCGCCTTTTAAACACAGTTTCTAGGATTTACCTCTTCTTTTCACTTCAAAAATATTTTGGGATATTTAATAGCATTTCGTCGTACAGGTAAGCTTGTCGATTTATAATATCAATGTAAATTCTAACATTACCAGTCGTTTGATTTTAACTTATGAATGGAACCAGAATTCACTTCACGGGCTGACGATGGTGTTGCTTACCAAAACACGTTTTGTCTTTCACCATAAAAAGTAATATTATTAAATATCACTATACTCGAAGCGGATGAATGTATATTGTAATATTTAAGATAGTAATCGTCAGCCATGATAGAGGCACTCCATACCTGTCGACACCAATTTGAGTTATGATTACGGACAGCGAAATACTGTCACATTTAGCAAGTTTCAGTCTACTCTTTTTCCTTTGGTGGAGGGATGATATTTTCTAAGTCATTGACACAGATCTTAGTAAAGATAGCCAAACTAGAGGGTGTGCAGCTCTTTTCATTCAAATGACACAGTCCCAACCATTCATTGTCCGAAGGTAACATGTTTATACACTCCAATACAAACTCTTATTTGTCCAAATTCTAGGAATAGATATTTTGTGTCATTCATTCATTCATTCATTCATTCATTCATTCATTCATTCATTCATTCATTCATTCATTCATTCATTCATTCATTCATTCATTCATTCATTCAGGTCAATAAGAAAGAAAGAGAGTTTAAATGATAACCAATGAATAAATGATAAAGTCAAAAGTTTGACCTGATACCTGGTATGAAACCTGGTGAGATTTAAACAAGTATAAAGCTGTTACAATGGATAAAAGTAAACAGAGTTTGGTGACTATCTTGGTCGTACTATCGATTTTTTATCAGGTTCATTGTACGGATTTAACTTATACCATACCAGAAGAACAGCCAGTCAATACTGTTATAGGGCATATTTTAAATGACACAGCCAATCTTCAAGGTGCCATCCAGGACAAGGATGTCCCTCATTTGAAATTCACATTTTTGTCAGAAGGTAATGCGGTCACGTCTTTATTTGCGTTAGATTCCCAAACCGGACAATTAGCAGTTGGTCCAGATTCTACTCTCGACAGCGAAACTATTTGTCCATTCTATGAAAAGTGTCACATTAAACTTGATGTCGTGATACAATCGCCATTGAATGATTTATTCCGTAAAGTCTCTATTAAAGTGATCCTCGAAGACGTCAACGACAATCCACCGACGTTTCCGAACGATGCAATCACCGTAGACGTATCGGAGGCAGTTTTGGTAGGAGCATCTATACCTCTTGAAGGAGCTTCAGACCGGGACATGGGCAAAAACAACTCTTTACAATCTTACGAAATAGAACCTAGAAATGATGCATTCGGTTTATCGTTCCGGAAGAACCTGGATGGAACTTCCTACTTGAATCTGGTTGTCCAAGGAGAACTCGATCACGAGAAGGTCAGCAGTTATTCGTTACGTGTTGTAGCCAAAGATGGCGGCGATCCACAACTACAAGGCGTCATGACGGTTAACGTAACCATAACAGACGTGAATGACAACGTTCCAAAGTTCAAGAAAGACAACTACAGTGTCAGCGTTGACGAAAATGTCACACAAAACTCAGTGATAATCCAGGTGCAAGCTGTTGACCGAGATTCGGGCGAGAACGGACAGATAAGCTACAAGCTGAGTTCCCACCAAGATACAAAGATAACAACGCTTTTTAAGATCGACCCAGAAAGTGGGGATATATCGGTAAAAAGTGACCTACAAAACGAGGCTACTGAGATATACAACATCATTGTCGAGGCTATCGATCATGCGTTACAACCGTTTACTAGTCAGTCTGTGGTAACCGTTACCGTAAGAGATGTTATTAACAGCCCACCGAAATTAACAGTTAACATGCTTTCAGGTGCGACTATATCCGAATACGCCAATATCGGAGCTGCGGTCGCACACGTAGCCGTAAAAGAATCAGACCGTGGAAGGAATGGCATCGTGTCATGTGACCTTAAGAACACCACGTATTTCAATCTACAGGGATTCGACCTTGACGAATACAAAATCATCGTCGCTCAACCATTAGACGCAGAGCTAGTCACTAGTCTGAACATTGATATAGTTTGTGAAGATGCTGGTTCCCCTCCGTTATCTGTAACCCATTCTTTTGAAATAACTATCACTGACGAAAATGATAATTCCCCAATCTTCGTCAAACCATTGTATACAGGTACTATCAAAGAAAATAACCGAGAAGGACAGAGTGTCGTTACAGTTCGTGCATCCGACGAAGATGCTGGATTAAACGGACGAGTGAAATATTCTTTAGGTTCAGATGCAACAGATAACTTCCGGATTTCACAAGACGGTGGCGTCATTCGTTCTAACGTACCATTTGACTACGAAACGCAGAAGTTTGCTAATTTTACCGTTGTGGCTTACGATCAGGGAACGCCAAAACGATCTGCGTCTACGATCGTTTCCATCAAAATTGAAGACATCAACGACGAAGCACCCAGGTTTTCTAAAGAACAATTCTCTGTCGAAGTGTCAGAATACGCCAAACCTGGGGAATTTGTGGCAGTGATCAAAGCGTTCGATTTTGAATCTGGAAAGAACGGAGATCTGATGTACTTTCTTCTGAATAAGACGCCGTCCATCCCTTTCACCATGTTTGTCAACGGTTCGATGGTTTTAGATGAGGCTCTAGATTATGAAAAGAAACAAGCGTACGAATTTAAGGTAATGGCGGTAGATAAAGGCGAGCCCCCTCTCAACACCACGACAAATGTAGTGATACAAGTACTCGATGAAAACGATAACAAACCCATTATATCCTTCCCTAATGTTCCTAAATATCTCGTTAATGTGACATTTTCCGATAAAAAGAGCACAGTTATAACACGTCTTCGAGTAATTGATTTAGACTCCGGGCTGAATGGACAACTTCATTATGTAATAACAAGCCGTAACGATAGTGGCCGTTTTGAAATTAATGCTAAAACTGGAGAGTTATTTACGACCAAAAGTTACGACTACGAAGATATTGACTTGTATCGTTTGGTAATCACTGTCAAAGACAATGGTGCTCCTCCGTTCGCGGATCATACTACCGTTTTTATAAAATTGTCACAAGGAAATGGTACGGCTGCGTCTGCTGGTGCGTCTAGCGAGCAGAATATTCTCATAACGCTGACAATAGTATGTGTGACTATAATCATCTCTGCGACTATTGTTCTGATCATCGTTATAATGCGAAGACGAGATAGGAAGAAGCAGAGTCCCTTGCGCAACCACCATTTGGGAAATAACGATCCAACTAAGTATGACAGTATTTTAAAGAGTAACAACATCAACGATAGGAAGGAAGCCATGATGGACGAGGCGAACAGTGGATACGGTGTGTCTTACGACAAGATGGCGGCGTTACAGACGAAAGACAACTTCGATTTGAATCCTAAGGTAAGACAGCATTTTTTTTATATATCCCATAATATGAATCATTCAGATCATGGAATATATGAGTCAGTCGAATGAGGTGGCTGTTCCACTACTACGTTTGTAAGGTAAATACAGATTAATGGCTAATGAAGGAATCTGATGAAATTGAACAAGGTTGTCTGGTTGGGTATCACCTTATCGCTTTGCTGTCTAGTAACGTCTGGTAAATTTGGGACATTAATGGTTGTAGGTTCATACCTTAACCTGTGTCTTTGTGACCGTGAATAAGTCACCCCTCTGCATTATTCCATTAAACACAAGGAAAGGGATATGCACCTGTAATCTGATAACGATCACAGTCACTGTGGTCAATTTGTAGAGCACACAAAAAACCGAAGTTATAAATTTACATCTAAATCAAATGCAGCCATCCCTGTTGTATCAAAATCAAAGAAATGTTATCAAATCGCAACCCCAAAAGCTTTTTCTGTCCAATATATCTTCAGCCAAATAATGAAATAACACGTTTTATCTCAATCATTCCCCATTGTCTATCAAAAAACCAACTTTCAAACAAAAACAAGAGTCTAATGAGTACCTCTTGAACTTCTTTGTCTGTTTTTATCTCTGTTTTCATACCTTTCTTCTCGTATATCATCGTGAATAAAAAGCCAAAGTAGTTAGGCGGATAAGACACAAGATAAAGTCATCTTAGAAATAAATAAATTCGTCTTGTTAAACGTTACGTCTTCACTTTAAATGTTAATCTAGTCTGTGTTATGTCTCAACTTTGCAAAAGTATTATGAGGTAAACGTAACTAGTTTTTCACTTTCTGTATGTGAAAAAATTGATGTTGAATTTGAGACGGTAAAAAACCCCTAAACCAAATTGCTAAATGTTAGTTGTAAAAAGTTTAAAGGCACAAGAGACAGTTACCTTGTTCTCACCACTAGACTCCAATAATGGAACGTTAACCCCTATTTACAAACCCTGCTGTCCTGACGAGGGTTGTGTATCTGAAACACACATGGACAGTTTGGGATGAACTCTATCACAAAGTTGGGTAGAACTTTCCTTAAAGTTTCCCTGCAAACCTAATCCACATATACGATCCGTCTGGCAGGGGTAAGATCTGATAACATGTATTCGGACCAGCTCAATCTTAACGGTTGGCGTAACGTTAACGCAATCTTTAGGCATCATTTAACGTTTTTCAGCCAAAACGAACCCCAGCACCTGTTTTTAATTAATAACTATCAAATTTCAACTTTATCTAAGATAAAATCGCCAGCTTAGTCAAGCTTTAAATGCAATTCTGGGATACTTTCAATTTCAACCCACCCCGAAGCAATTAATTTAACTTTAACTAAATCTCTTAACATTTAAGATAGAGAGATAAGATCTAAGGCTGATTTCCTCGCCGCTCATTCGGTGCTAGTTGTATGTTTGTGCTGTACGCTTTTTTGACTGTTTTGGTTTGATTTTTGTCGAGGAGTTACATTCTGGATAGCAGTGAATAAGTTGTATAGTTTAACTTACTTTTGACTTCTATCTGAACTTGAAGGTTCTCAGAAGCTTGGAATTAAATTACCCTGGAAGACTTAAGTTTTAATCTTTGAAAATTACAGACTTTGGAAGTCTGTTTTCATAGGCATCGCGTCAGTCAATTAAGAATTTCAATTTAATCTTGCTATTAGAGATTGTTATCTTTGCCTTTTCTGGAATAAGATCACCTAATTAAAGATTGCAGTGTAAACATAGAAAATTATAGATGACATGATAAGCAGGAATTTTGGAGGTTGACCTTTGCCTTGACATGAACGTTTTAGCTGCGTTCGATTACATAGTTGAACAGTTACACAAAGTTGGCAATGTGGTTCTGATTAGCCGAAGTGGTATTAAGTGTGTTATTTGCCTCGTTAAAGATCGTGATAATTGCCTGATATGCTCATTAGTCATATATACCTCTCGTTTGATGGACGTTTCAACGTTATTAAATCTTATGGATGCATAAGTTTCGAATCGTCCCACCTGCTGGTCTGAATTAGTTACGAAACGACCTTCATCGTTTTATGACACGGTTACATGTGAAGCGAATTATAGTAATGTTTTTGATGCTTGAAATTTTATGTGAAAAAACTTTTATTTTTCTTGAAAAATTAGTCTTTCACTTGACTTCATAAATTCTCCGTCTTTAAATGAACTGGGTTTTACGTCCTACTGTTCTGGACATTATTTGGGCGTGTATGCCTTCTTTAAATGAATGGGGTTTTACGTCCTACTGTTCTGGACATTATTTGGGCGTGTATGCCTTCTTTAAATGAACTGGGTTTTACGTCCTACTGTTCTGGACATTATTTGGGCGTGTATGCCTTCTTTAAATGAACTGGGTTTTACGTCCTACTGTTCTGGACATTATTTGGGCGTGCATGCCTTCTTTAAAGTTATTTTATAAAGATCTGATAGTTTGACATAAAATATTAATGATGTGTTTAAGAGGAGAATTAAAAGCTAATAATATCAGATTTATAGCAAACAAGAATATAGTGTTACATTTCTCACGTTTTGTAGAAATCAGATTATCAGAGTAGATTAATTAGCTACATGATGGGAGAATGTGGGGGATGATGTAACCAGCAAGTTGGTTAGTGTCGAGATACTCGATAGCTTTAGGTTTAGGTTTAAAGTCTTGGGGTCAAGGGTGGGGTTGGCTGATACTGAGCGATGCTGAAATAGGTAGGGTGCAAGGATGATGTAATCAGCTAGTTATTGATGCTTGTGGTGTTGTTCTGCTTGTAGATTTATAAATGCATAATATTGTCCAGCTTGTATTTGTGTAACACATGGCATGAGGAAGAAATCAAGAAATTACACGCGTCTCGTCATTGTGGTATATGTCACTATTAATTTTTTCTCATGTGCCATATTTGTGTCGGGTGTGTATGGAATAGAAAACTCTCTTATATTAGTCAACAGACAGAACAGCATAATAATCATATTAATGTCACTGTGTCTCAAGATTTTGATAATCAAATCAGACGAAACACTGCCCCCTAATTCTAGCTCTGTGACCACTACCAAAATTATGTCTGGACTGATTTAACCAATGAAAGTAGTATAGAAAGTTTAGGGGTTTAGACTGGATGTGAATTTTTAAATTTGTGGAGATGTGATTGTGATATATATATTAAAAACTGGAAATCCAACTTTGTGAAGATGGGTTTCAAAATTTTTCCAAACCCCAGAATCTCATCACTCACACCTCTATATATGATATAATAGACTAACAGCCGGTCGCGAGGAATTCCTATTTATCTTGTTAACCATTATGTCGAAACGAACATATGACCGGAGGGGGGTGGCTGTAATCGAAATTTCAAATTATATCAATCTTGTCGAAACTCATGTCAAAACGTTGATGATACGTCTGCATTTTTAGCTAATGAAATTTAAATGGACATTTATCTTGTAAAATTTCGTGTAAAATTGTAAAAACTTTGGCCTGACGTTGACGGTTCAGTTATTTTGCTAATGATGTGACCCTTCATGGGGATGGATATATATTAATACACGTCAAGTGTCATATTGGGGCTAATGGAATATGCAGATGTAAGTTACAAGCATTTCGAATGTTATTTTCATTCGTATACATAATGGACATAGTGGACCCTACATTACGTGGGCAATGAATGAAATTTTTACCGATTCCAAAAAAATTAGACATTGTAGACTTGAGAACATTTTATCAAATAACAAGCCTAATTTTGTACGGAACATACCCTAAAAAAAATTAACAAAACGAAATATTCAATACAGAATTTTGATTATATAAACAGTTTGCGTACTTTCCTTTGATTTTGCACCTTTCTTTAAACTAAAAAATATAACAGAAAACAAAAAAACTCACGAAAATGAAAATTATTCATGTAGAAATTCCAACCTTAAATTAAAAATTTGACACATTAATCAGTGTAATTGAAAGTAATTTCTGAGTAATTATAGAAAGATCATGTTTCAATTGTCCTTACGCAAACTCTAGATAGACGTTACGTAACGTGATGGGATGTTACGTTCAGATGTTTGTGACAGACGGTCCGTTACGTCCCGACAGTTTAGTTGCTAAATTTAGCGAAATAATTTGATATGCTTGTGTAAGTGATTTTAAGCAGCCAGCTGGTCAAATGATTTTGGAAACTTTGATGTTTAATGAAGAGTTTGGATTTAAAATGTCTATCAGTAAATGAGTACCTCATTCAACGTACAACTGGCGTTTTCCAGTACAAATTACTCTTTAAAAAGTACATGTATTACAGAAGGTAATAATAATGGAAGACTGTGTGATCTATAGGATTAAGGAATATAAGGAAACCTCGTCCTGTATAACATGTCAATATGTGTAGACTGATTATACAGCCCAAATCGTCTATATGATATGCCGTAGCAGTCTATTAATATTTATAAACTAATGCTATGTAGTTGATTGTCCTAAATTGTAAAATTGTGGTCAATGAATATAACATTAAATTATGTGTAGTTATTCAAAATGTACCACACGTGAAGAAAAAGAGCTTTTTTGATAGAATTTTTAAAATATGACGCTTTTTGACAAGTTAATTAGATAAAAAGGGACACCTGAATCCGATGCAGCGTCGGTTTGATTTGTATAGGTAATCTTGTGGGCCTGATTTACGTGTACATCACGTATTGTCCAGACTGGTCAGTCAGTTCGGACACCGTCTGGCCACTGTGTTGATTATAGGTCATTGTCAAACCCCCGCTGTTATAATGATTAGTTACAGTCATTAGGATGCATGGCCAGGTGACCGCGTTGATTACCCTGCGTTATAATGGTTGTACTATTGCCAGTCAATGTTGTGTATCGGTGTATATCATATTAAGGGGCCAGTGAAATACGGAAAGCTTCCGTCTCAATATTGTTAGAGGAAATGTCATGCTAGCAGATAGATAAATAGCAAAAACATATTTGTTTTGAACTTGGCCCATAACTGATGTGCTGTAATGTCTATAGGAAGTTTTGTTTTTCAACCTTAAAGTCCTTAAATAGATTCAGCATTCATTTTTGGTATAAGCGGCT